AATGAAATTGAGCATCATCCTGATGTTGACAGCATTATGCCGCCACCACACCCACGAACCATAACGCCGCATCGCAGTGATTGCAGCAGCATCATGACGTGGTTGACAACATCATGACGATACACCAGCCACGAACCAGTACGAGCGACAGTTAGAGCAGCAACAACGTCCGAATCGGTTCAACAGCATCATGATGCTGCTGACAGCATCATGATGATGCGACAACCACGATACCCCAAACAGCACCCGCCCTAGCACCCTGCCATCCATATGCGCCCGCACCGTCACTAACACCCCAAAACAGCAGCCCCAACAGCACCCCAACGCAGCACCCGCGACAGCACCGGACACGTCCCAGAGCACCCTGCCGTCACGTACTGTCACCAGCACCTCGACCAAACAGCACCCCAAAACTTCTTCATTAGAAGTTAGAACCCCTATGGTTTCCAGCTATCTGGGAAATAGCACCCACGCGGTCAGCAGCACCTCCAACAGCAACCCAAAACAGCACCTGCACCACCACCCCAAACTGCGTGCTCCCAAGCACCCGCCAGCAATCTCCGCAAAATTGAGTCCCCAACACAGCATCGGCTCCCCAAACTGCCCAAACCGCACCCATCAATCTTGCAAAAATGCGCCTGCACCATCACCAGCACCTCAAACAGCACCCCAAACTGGTTGGCCCCCGCTGTCCATGAGCGCCTTAAACAGCACCTCCACCAGACCGCACACTGCATACCCCCTATCGCCCGGCCGTCAATTTCGCAAAACAGCTCCATCAGCCACCCAGCCGTCAATCTCAACACCCCAAACTACATGACACCTAGCACTTGGCCGTCAATCTCGCAAAACAGCACCTCCACCAGCACCCCAAACTGCATGCCCCCTAGTGGCCGTCAAGCTCACAAAACAGCACCTCCACTTCACCCCAAACTACATGCCCCCTAGCACCCAGCCGTCAATCTTGCAAAACAGCACCTTCACCAATGCCCCAAACAGCAGGCCCTCTAGCACCTGGCCGTCAATCTCGCAAAGCGGCACCTCCACCAGCACTCCAAACTGCATATCCCTAGCACCCGGCCGTCAAGCTCGCAAAACAGGACCTCCACCAGCACCCCAAACCGCATGCCCCACAGCACCCGGCCCTCAATCTCGCAAATCACTTTCCCTTCTTTATTAGCAGTTAGAACCTCTCTAGCTTTCAGCTATAAAACACCCGGACGAACGATCGCAAGCGAGTGGCTGGCCATTATCTCCCACAAGGTTGCTGCAATCTCTGCAGGAAATGACGAAATGCATGTGATGCACAACTGCATGTGGAATCCTAACTGCTCTCAAAAGCCGGGTTGCTCAAAATTGTGGATTGGCCCAGGGGTTTTGGGAACGAACCTACAAATTCCTTTTCAAGGAACCAAAAAAATGGTTGTAGGGCCATTCCACGTCTCATTCCCTGCTTATTGAACAAGCAAGAAGCCAACAGATCAAGGAACAGGGCAACCCAAAAAACTGCGAGGGCACCCTCAAGAACCCGCGTAGCATTTGCATCCAGGCGGCGGTCCAAGCCCAGGCCATCGACCCGAAGGTGCTCCGTGGCTTGCACCCCGAAGCCAAGACATGGCAACAGCACCACAACAAAAGATTGGGAACAAGCCACTCAAACACGTGGGGATAGAAAATAAAAACATGCTGAAATAATTGGAACTTGCAAGTGTGTTGGGCTTGGGTGAGGTGAGGCCCCCCGCACAGTTTTCGGCTGCGCTATCCCTATGTTGAGTAGGGCGAGAGTCTATGCTGCCTGTTGGCTGAAGAAAGCCACATGCTCAAGCTTCCTGAAGTTGTTCGGCTGACATGACTGAGCCACACAGCTGGCACGGCTTGTCATGGGCACTCTCTTTCAAGTGTCTGTGTGTGTGGTCTCTGCGCCTGCGTGACTGTCTGTCTGTGTGTCTGCGTGTCTGTGCGTCCGTGTGAGCTGCGTGCATGATGACCATCCGTGCGACACGTGTGACATATCCATTTGGCCCGCAACCACTGGGCTAGAGCACCAGCTCGCAGCGACGGACGAGTTCTTGGCACCCAGCGCATCGACTCCGAGCGGGAGCACTGCCGCATGTCCTCCACCGCACTTACCACACTTCCTCAAACTCATCTCACTCACCTCACTCACCACACTCACCTCACTCGCCTCACTCACCTCACTCACCTCATTCTTGTAGAACTGGTTGAAAGACATGCATGTACTTGTGTACTGTGTTTATTCAGCTGTCTGTCGCGCCTGTTAGTTGTGGTGCGATGGTGGTGTGGCGGTGTGGCGGTGTGGCGGTGTGGCGGTGTCGCGGTGCGGCGGTGCGGCGGTGCTGCGCTATGGCGGTGCGACGGTGCGACGGTGCGACGGTGTGGCGGTGTGGCGGTGTGGCGGTGCGGCGGTGCGGCGGTGTGGCGGTGTGGCGGTGCGGCGGTGTGGCGGTGTGGCGGTGCGCGGTGTGGCGGTGCGCGGCGG